TTTAGCATAATTGTGCTGTGGTCAGAGATCAAACTGTATGATTTCAGTAATTTAAAATTTATTCTCATGTTTCACAGCCAAAATACGGTTTCATTTTTGTAAATATTCCATGTACTTTAAAAGAAAGTATATTCTGCAGTATATCTACAATAGGTTGTTAACATACTGTTCAAATCTTCTGTAGATTCTCAGTGCTTGATTTAACAGTTACTGACAGTTCTGTATGTTTCAAATTATTTTACTATAAGTATACATTTCTCTATTTTTATTATTTCAATTTTGACTTTATATATTTAGAAGGTATGTTATTAAGTGAATACAAATTTGGAGGAGTTGTATCTTCTTTGTGAATTGAAACTTAGCATTTTGAAGTGTCCGTTTTTATTGCTAGTCCCGTTTCTTGTCTAATGTCTACATTTTTCGTATTAGGATAGCTTCAAAATCATCCTTTTTGTTTGTGTTGGCATAGTATATCTTTTCCTAGCTCTTCCTTCTTCCTGTGCCCTTAAATTTTAGATGTTTCTTTTTAGCAGAGTATCAGATTTAAAAGAAATTCAGATTCACAAATCTTTGTCCTTTAATTGATGACCTAAATTTATATATTGGGAAATAATTTTACCAAAAATATGGAATTAACTTGGAAGCAGGATGTAAGGTAATAATCCCAGGTATTATTCGGATAAGAGTAGTTAATGTAGTAAAATGGCAAATGCGGGGAGACTATTTCTGAATGTTGCTTTATTCATACTGATGGAGGTTGTGTAGCCTGGAAAAATATTCAGGAAGTTCTGTCAAATAAGAAACCTTTAGTAAGTTTTGTCAATTCCTAAGTAACCACCTTTTTTTCTTTTTCTAGAGTCACTGCTACTACCAAGGATATGTTGAAGGATATCCGGATTCTGTTGTCACACTCAGCACGTGTTCTGGATTGAGGTTATGTATTTTCTACCATTGACATGTGAACATCATAGTTATGCTGTTTGGCCGCATTGAATTTGTTATGTTGATATTAAGTGTGAAGCTGGAAGAAAATTCCCATGTGGAGATTATTCAGTTATACTCTGCTGTTTCTCTAACTTCTCAGTTTCCTCACTGACCAGAAAATTTCTAGCTTCCTTCAAGGTTTAGATTTCCTGGTGTCCTTGCTCTATATCTTATTTTTTCTTAACTACAGAAATGACACTTAAACGTGCTTGATTATAGCAAGTCTGAACAGCAAAAATTAGGGTAGCTTATTTTTTCAGCAAATAGAATATTTTGATACTTTCCATGTGTCTGGAGGTATAAAGAGAAATAAAAAGTAATAAAGCATACTTTTCTCAAGGAAAATCATCTTCAGAGAGAGGAAGTCAGTTCTGTATAAGCAAATAATTATTAATATAGTACTCATTTTTCAAATAATACCAGTATCTGAAATTTCCATTATGTCAGGGAGTTCTTCACTCTCAATTTGTAGCATAGGATCCTTGTTTCACAAAAAAATGTTCCTCAGTGCTTTTACATGGTACCCTGAAATTTGTTTTTATGGAGTAGTCACTTGAGCTGTGACCTGTATTCAGGGAGGAAGAGTTGCAAAAGTTGTTTTACTGTTTGAGATCTTGCCTTAAATTTCTTATTCAGACTCTGTGCATAAACAAAATAAACACCTTTTCATAATTATTACTAAATTTTATTCTTATAAATAAAATTGCTCAGTATATAGTCTTTTATTATATAAACTCTGCAGTCATTTTTCTAAAGCATTGCAAACCAGAGAAAAATTCATCAGGATTTCTATATTGCTTTCATTAAGTCACTGACTTGGAGAGCAGGGAACTACTTGATCACTGTAAATGGCGTACCTAGCACTGATTACATAATTTCTGCTACATTTATAACCATAGACAATGAAATGGGAAGTTAATTTTGTGGATTGGGTGAGATCTTTTGACTCTTCAGAGTCATCTCCAAAACATAAAGTATTTGGGTCAAAATATTGAGCACAGTAACGTTCTGTATTTTCTCCTTTTTTCTCGTTTGATTCTGTCAGAGTTTTATAAAATTGACTAAAAGCACTTAAATTTTTTATCCTTAATTTTACAGAGGATTACTGCAATTTGAAAATGTTTCTTATGGAATTGAACCTCTGGAAACTGAGCTTGAATTTCAGCATCTTCTTTATAAATTAAAGAATGAAAACAATGAATTTGCAGTTCATACTGAAAATAACCGTGACATAGGGCAAAAACCAATGGACTATAGCATTTTTATAAGTGAAAAAGTTAGTTGCATATGCTTTATTACTACTTTAAGATAGTTACTGCTTTTTAAAATTTATTTTAAAAAATTTATTAACCTCATGTATAGTAGCAAGTATCCTTTGCTTAAGAACATCCTCACCTTTTCTTAAACTTATAATTTTCCTTGATAAGCATTTCCTGCTGGCAACAATCTATCCTTTTAATTTTTATTTTGTTTTGTTACTTAAAACTTTCTAAAAATTTACTAGTGTATATTTCATATAAACTTTAACAATTCAGTTCCTACTTTGTCTCTATATTTCTGTAAGTTATTTAATATAGCCAGTATTTATAAAGGTTGCATTCATAACCAAGGAGTCAGTATTAATTAAATTATACATATAATTAAAATGTCATAAGCAGGATTGTCATGTGTGGCCATGTAAATTGTTCAGTGTACACCCTGTATAACTGCATGTTTTGGTCTTCATAAAAGTAATTGTGAGAAAGAAAAACTTTGTGCCAGGTAAAAGTGGCATAAATAGGCATAGTTAATTGAAGAATTATATGTTAGCTGTTTACAGTACATGTTCTCATTTTTTTGTCAGTTTTTATTAAAAAAACCCTCAGAGTTTAGCTGGGCATGTAAAGAAAGGCTCTGTTTCTCAGCTTCCCTTGCATTTAGGTATGGCCATGTGATAAAGTTAGGGCTAATGACATAAAAGCAGATGTAGTATACGTTATGTCTGGATTGAATTCTAAAGGAAGGGGGCTTATACTCTTCTCTTTTTCCCTATTCTCCTGGTCACATCGTGCACATGTTGACACATAGTCCACTAGGACAAGGATGATACCATGTATGACAGAGCATTAAGGTGGAATGAGCCTTGCTCCTGAAGAATTTACAAGACTAAATCACCATTTTCAGACTTTCATGTGAGAGAGAAATAAACTCCAATATTGCTTTACCCACTATTATTTTTTGTGTATCTGTCATAGCTTCTAATCCTATGTCCAGAATAATACAGGACTCAAATATACAGTGAAAGGCAGGTGCAGCACCAAATTATTCAGTGCTATCACATGTATGTATATAATTTAAAATGAAGTTTTATTAATTAAATACTAAATTTTCTCTTTCCTTCTGAGAACTTAGGAGGATGATTTACAATAGCTTAAATTACCCACTATGGTGGACAGTGTTAGTGCTCTTCCAGATTCCCTCAGATCCCTTTTTACCATATTTTTGTGGATAGAGGCAGGGAGGGTGGGACACTTTGTCTTTGTTTATGCTTTTGCTTTTAACATCTAGAATCTCTAACTTTAAAACTATGTTTACACTTAAAATTTATTTTATTTCAGTTGTATTGACATATAATTGGCATATTATAATTGGTGTGTTAGTTTAAAGCATACAACATAATGATTTGACATATGCATATGTTATGAAATGATCACCACAATAAGTCTAGTTAACATTCATCACCACACATAGCTCAACATCACTAATCATCAGAGAAATGTAAATCAAAACCACAATGAGATAGGACCTCACACCTGTTAGACTGGCTGTTATAAAAAAGACAAGCCTTGGTGGGAATGTAAATTGGTACAGCTGCAATGGAAAACAGTATGGAGGTTAGTCAGAAAATTAAAAGCAGATCTGTCATATGATTCACCAGTTCTGCCTCTGGGAATATAACCTAGGAAATGAAATCAGTATCTTGAAAGAGATATCTGCACTCCCGTGTTAATTGCAACTTTATTTACAATATCCAAGGTATGGAAACAATCTAAATATCCATTGATAGATGAGAGATAAAGAAAAACACACACGCACACACACAGGAATATCGTTCAGCTTTAAAAATGAAGAAAATCCTAAATCCTATATTTGTGACAAAATGGATGAATGTGGGAGATACTATGCTAAGTGAAATAAGCCAGGCACAGAAAGACAAACACTGTGATCTCACTTATATGTGGAATCTAAATCAGTCAAACTCATAGATACAGAGAGTAGAATGGTAGTTGCCAAGAGGTGGGGACAAGGAAACTTGGGGAAATGTTGGTCAAAAGGTACAAAGTTTCATTATGTAGAAAGAATAAGTTTTGGGGACTTAATATACAGTAATGTGATTATAGTTAAAAATACTGTATTGTAAACGTGAAGTTTGCTAAGAATGTTGATATTACATGTCCTCACCACAAAAAAAGAAAGCAAATGGTAGCTATGTGAGGCAAATATGGTAATTAGCTTTACTGTAGCAATAACTTCATAATGTATACATACATATATAAGCATCAAGTCTTACACCTTAAATATAATTTTGTCAACCATACCTCAATAAAGATGGAAAAAAAATTTAAAGGTTCAGAATAAGCAGTTTATGAAAGCTTGTTTTTAAATACTGATGTTTTGTTTTGTAGTTGGAATCAGCTGTTCAAGACTTAATTCCTCTTTATCTAGAAATGCATATTGTGGTGGACAAAGTTTTGGTATGTCTTTTTCTTTACTTTTGAATATTTGGTATGACTATATGATTATCCCTAGCTAGATAGGAACTTAAAGATTCTAATCTTCTTCCTTCTTCATTGAACAGAGGAAACATTTGCAAATTGAAAAACCACATTTTCATAATTATACTAGTTCTATCAGAAGTGTTTTATTAGAAATCTGTACATGGTACTTCATCTCTTTGGGGCCTCTCTCAATCCACAATATTTTTTAATGTGATATTTGTTTTACGTGACATTTTTTAAAAGCTTTTAATTCTTGTTTGCCCTTGAAGTGCAGTATGTAGTCTAGAGAATGTTTTGACCTATAAAATGTTTATTGGCACCAAAGTGGTGATAGTATAGCTATTTATGGGAAATGCTTACATTAATTTCAATATATTTTTTGAGTTTTTATTGGTGCACCTGTTCCAATCTGTTGTTCACCTGGTCTAAATGCACCTCTAGATCCCTGATTCCCATAAAAAATTTGAGGACCTCTGAACTTCAGGACCTTTGGGTTATAACCTAGTTTACACTCAACCAGTTCTGGTTTTGTTTCCCCTATGTTTCAAAGATTTCAGAAAACAGGGATAAAAAATACTTTCCAGGTTTTGTTCTGTTGTTAAACATTGGATTTTCACACCTATGGAATACCACAGAAAATATAAATTATGCTCACTACCAATTCTATTTGTAGGATTGTAGAGCTTTGTCAGGAAGCCAGAGTTGAAGGTCAAAGCCAGGTGAGGTTTCGAGAAATTTATGATAATATTTGATTTATTAGAGTGTAGGGAAAAGGGCAAAGTGAACATTGAAGAGAAAATTAAGATACTTCCAGTAAAGGAGACTAAATTTCCAAGTAATAGTTTGGATTATGGAAATCATTGTGTTTCAGGATTATGTTACAAGTTTTGAGTTGTTCTGAAAGCTGCTTATCCAAATTGTCAGGTTTACCAGCCATATAATGCTGATTAAACATCCCTTTTCTATGTTCTTTCACATATTCACATATTCTTTAATAAACATTGAGCCAGTATGACAGCTGTGTTACTAGATTTTGGGCATCTTTATAAAGAAGAGCAATGATGATATTGTCTTCAGTGACTTCACAATTGTAGCCTGGGGAATTCAGTGTCATGATGGAGGAAGCATATTATACTATAAAAACACTGGTCAGTAATAGAGAGACACATGGAAAAATACAACTGTAAGCTGATTTATTATAAGAACATGCCAGTAGGTGTTTTAAAATGTAGGTTTTGCCCTGGCCAGGTGGCTTGGTTGGCTGGAGCCTCGTCCCATACACCAAAAGGTTGCGGGTTCTATTCCCGGTCAGGTCACATACCTAGGTTGTAGTTTCAATCCCAGGTTGGGGAGCATATGGGAGGGAACTAATCACTGTTTTTCTTTCACATCTATATTTCTCACTGTCTCTCCCTCCTCCTTCCTCTTTCTCTAAAAACCTCCACAAAAACCAATAAACATATCTTCTGGTGAGGATAATAAAAAGGTTTCATTATTATTCAGGTATGATGAGGCCAACAGATCAGGAGATGGTTGCTATTGGAAAGATGTATGGGAACCTTGATTGTGGTCTCTTTCGGTAGCAACTGGCAAGGGAAGGTAAACAAGTTTAGGATTGGCTAGTTTGAATAACTTTAGTGGGTTCTGGGTGTAGGGGTTGTCTCTAGTTGTATGGTACCTGAGCCTGTGTGCTTAGGGCAGGGGAATAATGGAGTATAAGAATCTGATAAAAGTTTGAAGTCTGGATTGGTTTATTTGGGTAATGGGGGAAGGTGGGGCCAAGAAAGACTTTGTGTGAAACCTTTCTTAGCAAGGGCATATAAATATGAGAGAAGGTTCTTTTCAGAAAACTGCAAGAAGTTTAGTATGATTAATACAAAGCATTGAAGAAGGGAAATGGAAAGAGATGAATTGATGAATTAACATAATACTTCAGTTTTATTCTAAAGGTAATGGAGAGTCATTAGAAGATTTTAAGCAGGGGGTTACATTTTCAGGCTTTCATTTTAGAATCACCATTTTTTTTTTTTAAATATATCTTTATTGATTTCAGAGTCAGGAAAGGAGAGGGAGAGAGAGAGACAGAAACATCAATGATGAGTCAGTCATTGATTGAGCCCACAACCCGGGCATGTGCCCCGACCGGGAATCGAACCCCGATCGCCTGGATCCTAGATCGACGCTCAACCGCTGAGCCACGCCCGGCCGGGCTAGAATCACCATTTTTTTATTGTTGACACTATTACAGATATTCCCCATTTCCCCCCTTCTCTTTTCCCGCCTCCACCCCCCACCAAGGCCTTCGGCCCATTATTGTCTGTGTCCATGGGCTATGCATATATGCATATGTGCACTTTGCTTAATCTTTTCCAGTCCCCCTGCCCCCATGCCTCTGTCTTCTGAGATCTGTCAGTCTGTTCCCTGTATCATGTCTCTGGTCTTATTTTGTTCATCATCATCTTTTGTTCATTTAGATTCCACATGTAAGTGAGATCTTGTGATACTTGCTTTTCTCTGACTGGCTTATTTTTCTTAGCATAATACTCTCCAGGTCCCTCCATGCGCTCTCAAAGGGTAAGCATTCCTTCTTTTTACAGCTGCATAGTATTCCATGGCATAAATGTACCACATCTTTTTTATCCATTCATCTACTGATGGGCGCTTGGGCTGTTTCTAGATCTTGGCTATTATAAATGCTGCTGCTATGAACATAGGAATGCATATATTCTTTCTGGTTACTGTTTCAGAAGAATCATCATTTTTAAAAAAAGAGTGTAGTGACCAGATTGCTGGTGAGAAAATTGGTGAGATTATTTCAACAATTAAGTTGAACATTTATAAATTGGTAATATTAGGAATAGAAAGAAAAGGACAATTATAAAAGTTACTGATGAGGGTGAATTAGAAGAGCTTGTAAATTGGTTAGATTTATTCATTCACTTAAAACATTTATCAAGTATGCTAGTTACTGTTCTATTTATTGGATATGTAGCAGTGATCAAAAGAGAAAATGTTCTCTCATGGACTCTGTAGTACAATAAATGTGGAAGGTCATAGGTGATAATACCAATTACTGTAGTAGTGGAAACGTAAGTAGGGGAAGATTTTTTGAGGAAGGATGATGAATTTAGTTTGCATATGTTTAATTTGAGGGTCATGTGGAACATCAAAGGGATAGTGTATTTCAGAGTTATGATTTATAGATATGGGATTTGACATTGGCACTTTCATACAACCTATTCAGATTTCAACAATTATATATACACTCATTTTTGTGTGTGTAGTTTTATGTGATAGTATCACAAATGTAGCCTTGCATAACCACCACCACCACCACAGTCAAGACACTCAACAATCCCATGACTGCAATGACTGCAGGACTCCCTTATGTTTTCCTTTTATAGTAACACCCATTTCTCCCCTCTTCCTACATTTACTAAGCCCTGGCAGTCACTAATCTGTTCTCTCTTTCTGTGATTTCAGCAATATTGCATAAATGTTATCATGCAGTATGTATTCTTTTGAGATTTCTTTTTTACTCAGCATAATTTTCTTGAGGTTTATCTAAGTTCTTCCATGTATCAAAAATTCAGTTCTTTGTTATCACTAAGTAGTATTCTATGGTATGAATACACCACAGTTTGTTTAATCAGTTAACCATCGAAAGATATATGAGTTGTTTCTAGTTCTTGACTTTTATGTACACACTTCTATGAGCACATATATAAGATTTTTTTGGGTGTGTGAATATCAGTTTTTATTTCTTTGGGATAAATGCCCAGGAGTACAATAGGTGGGTCATGTGTTACGTCCATTATTTGTTTTGAAAGACACTCACAAACTACTTTCCAGAGTGGCTGTATGATTTTACATTCCCACCAGCATGTGTGAGTGATCCAATTTACATCCATTTTAAAAATTCGTTTCTGACTTATTTTTAACTGTTCTAACACTGAAGCAGCCTCAAACCTCTGAGAATAGAGAGTAAATCTTAAACATGTTGCATAACAAATTTGTATTTAAATTTAAAATTAATTTTCTTTTTCAGTATGATTACTTGGGCTCTGATAGCATGATAGTAACAAATAAAGTCATCGAAATTATTAGCCTTATAAATTCGGTAAGTATTTTCCCTTTCATACTAGTTAGAAAAATTCATACTAGTTTTGAAAATATAATTTAACTTGATGTGGCATTTCTGAATAATTAAGTCATCTACCTAAACTTGGTGTAGATTTTTCAAAACATTGAATTAATTTCTGAGTCATTAAAAATAACACAAAAATGATTTTTTCATATATTATTTCTTTTGTTTTTAGGTATTTGCCCAATTTAAAGTTACTATTGTGTTGTCATCATTGGAGTTGTGGTCAGATAAAAATAAGATTTCTACAGTCGGTAAGGCAGATGAATTATTGCAAAGATTTTCAGAGTGGAAAAAATCGTATCTTACCCTAAGGCCTCATGATATTGCATATCTATTCATGTAAGAATAATGTTTCATAGAAAAATAATGTATTGTTAGAAAACAAAGATCTGAGATAATTATGTAGCCTTATTTAGGGAATTGTTATTCATTTTTGACTATTTCAAAGGGAAAGGGGAAGGGAGGNTGACTATTCCAAAGGGAAAGGGGAAGGGAGGATAGAAGAAAAAGTTTTCCAGAAAGCAAAAGCTAGAGCAGATCATCACCAGTTGACTGGCCTTACAAGAATGTTAAAGGGACATCTTTAGCTGAAACAAAAGGGTGCTAATTAATAACTGGAAAACATATGAGAGTATAAATCTCACTGGTCTATATATATCCTGACTTAATCTAATATAAAGATGGGAGCAGTGTTAATCACTTACAAAGCTACTTATGAAGGTTAAAATATAAAAGTATTAAAAGTAATTATAGTTACAACAATTTGTTAAGGGGTGTGCAAGATAAAAAAATATATTAATTGTGACACAAAAAACGTAAAGTATGAAGGTGGAGCTAGTAAAAATGTAGTCTCATAATATGTACAAACTGAAGCTGTTTTCATCTTAAAATAGACTGTTACAAATGTAAGTTGTTTTATGTAAGCCTCATGGTAACCACAAAGCCAAAACCTATAATATATACGCAAAGGATATGACAAAAGGAATCTAAGCGTACTGTTACAAAAAAATCATAAAATCTCAAAGAAAGAGAGTAAGAGAAGAAATGAATAAAGGAATAACAAAACAGCTCAAAAACAATAAGTAAAATGGCAATAAGTACGTAGAGTAGTTAAATGTATAAAAATCAAGACCCACATATATGCAGCCTACAAGAGACTCACTTAAGATGTAAGGATGCACACCAACTTAGTATGAAGGGATGGAGTAACATTTTCCATGAAAATGGAAACTGAAAGAAATCTGGGGTAACTATACTTATATCAGACAAAATTGACTTTAAGGCAAAGAATGTAGTAAGAGACAAAGAAGGTCATTATATCATGGTAAAGGGTCAATTCAAATACACATATGCTTTTTATTATTCTTGCCTAATTGCTCTCGCTAGGACTTCTAATACTATGTAAATAACCGTGGTGAGAGTGGACATCCTACTCTTGTTCCTGATCTCAGAGGAAAAACTTTCAGTTTCAGTTTTTCACTTTTAAATATATCATCTGTTGACTTTGTCGTATATGGCTTATATTATGTTGATGTATATTCCCTCTGTACCTACTGGGTTGAAAATGATCATAATAGATGTTGAATTTTCTCTAATTCTTTTACTGCATATGTTGAGATGATCGTATTATGTGTGTTCTTAATTTTATTCATATATATTATCACTTTGTTGTTTTCAGATGTTGAACCATCCTTGCATCTCTGGAATAAGCCTCCTTGATCATGGTGTATGATCCTTTTGATGTACTACTAAATTCAATTTGCTAATATTTTGTTGAGGATTTTTGCAGTTATGTTCATCAGGGATACTGTCCTATTATTTTTTTTATAGTGTTCTTGTCTAGTTTTGATATCAGGGTAATGCAGACCTCATAAAATAAGTTTGGAAGTGTTCCCTCCTTTTCTTTTTTTCAAATAGTTTGAGAACAGTTGATTTTCATTCTTCATTAATGTTTGGTAGAATCCACTTATGATGCCTTTTGGTCCTGGGCTATTGCTTTTTGGGAGTTTTTTGATTGCTTCAAATTGTTCATATTTTCTGTTTCTTCTTGATTCAGCCTTGGAAGCTTATATGTTTCTATAAACTTATTNCTGTTTCTTCTTGGTTGAGCCTTGGAAGCTTATATGTTGCTATAAATTTATCCATTTCTCCTAGGTTGTCCAACTTGTTGGCATACAATTATTCGTGGTCGTCTTTAACGATCCTTTGTATTTCTGTAGTGTTGGTTGAAATATCTCCTTTTTCATTTCTGATTTTATTTATTTGGGCTCTCTCCCTTTTTTTGATTTGCCTGGCTAGAGTTTTGTAAATTTTATTTATCCTTTCAGAGAGCCAGCTTTTAGTTTCATTGATTGTTTTCAAACTTTTTGGTCTCTTTCATTTATTTCCACTCTGATCTTTATTATTTCCTTTATTCTACTTACTTTGGTGTTTGTTTGTCCTTCTTTACCTAGTTCGTTTAGTTGAAAAGTTAGATTGTTTATTTGGAATTTTTCTTCTTTCTTGTGTTAGTCCTGTATAGCTGTGAGCTTTCCTCTTAGAACTGCTTTTGCTGCATTCCACACATTTTGGAAAGTTGTGTTCTCATTGTCATTTGTCTCAAGGTGGTTTTTGATTTTCTGTTTGATTTCTTCTCTGATACATTGATTGTTTAGTAGGATGTTGTTTATTCTCCATGTATTTGTGTTTTTTTCAGTTTTCTTACTATAGTGGATTTCTAGTTTCCTCTGTTGTGCTTAGAAAAAATGCTTGATATAATTTCAGTCTTTTTGAATTTATTGAGGCTTGTTCTATGGCCTAATATATGGTCTATCCGGGAGAATGTTTCATATGCACTTGTGAAAAATGTGTATTCTGTTGTTTTGGGCTGAAACCATCTATAAATGTCTGTTAAATTAACCTGGTCTAATGAGATATTTAAGGCCATTATTTCCTTTAAAAATATTTTTAAATTGATTTTTAGAGAGGAAAGGAGAGGGAGAGAGAAACATCAATGTGAGGGTGGTACATTGATTGGCTGCCTCCTGCATGCCCCCTACTGGTGATCAATCCCGCAGACTGGGCATATGTCCTGGCTGGGAATTGAACTGGCATCCTTTTGGTGCATGGAACAATACCCAACCAACTGAGCCAAACCAGCCAGCCCTTCTTATTAATTTTTGGCCTGGATGCTTTTGTTATCCTTTGAGGTAAATGGGGTATTAAAGTCCCATACTATTATTGTGTTACTATTAATTTCTACCTTTACGTTAATTAATACATGCTTCATGTACTTAGGTGAACCTATGCTGGGTGCCTAGGTATTTATAATTGTTACATTCTGTTTTTGATTGACCCTTTATTATTATCTAATGACCTTCACTCTTTCCTTTTACATTGTTTGTTTTAAAGCCTGTTTTGTCTGATAAAAGTTTTGCCAGAACAGCTTTCTTTTTATTTCTATTTGCATGGAATACCTCTTTACATTTCTTCACTTTCAGTCTATGTGTGTGTGTGTTTTTTTTTGTTTTTTGTTTTTTTCGAATCAGTTCAACCACTCTATGTCTTTTGATTTAAGTATTTACTCTATCTGATATTTTAAGTAATTGTTGGTAGGTATGTGCTTATTGTTCTTTTATTTCATTTTTGTCGTTTTTGTGGTTTTTCTCCATTCCTTTCCTCTCTTGATCTCTTTCCTTTGGATTACTGGTATTTTTTAGTGTTTGTTTGGTTTCCTTTCTCTTTATTTTTTGGGTATATTTGCAGGTTTTTGGTTTCTGGTTTCCACAAGTTCATATATATACGTCTATAGCAGTCTGTTTTAAGCTGGTAGGCATTTAAGTTCAAACACATTCTAAAAGCACTACATTTTTGCCTCCTCCTTTATGCTTTATATTTTTGATGTTATATTTTATATCTTTTTATTTTATATATCCCTTATTTATCATAGTTATAGTTAATTTTGCTACTATGTCTTTTAACCTTCATATTTACTCTTTAACTGGTTGATTCACTGTGCTTATTGTATATTTGTCTTTACTCATAATATTTTTTTCTTTTCTGCATTTTCTTAGGTCTGGTTATGATCTTTTCTGCATAAAGAAGACACTTTAATATTTCTTATAAACCCAGTTTAGTGGTGGTGAAATTCATTTGTTTTTGTTTGTTTGAGAAACTCTTTATCTCTCCTTCAGTACAGAATAGTAACCTTGCTGGGTATAATATTTTAGATTTAATTTCCTTTATTTCAGCACTTTAAATATTTCCCTTCACTTTCTTTTGGCCTATAGAGTTGCTGAGAAATCAGCTGATAACATTATGGGGTTGCTGTTGTATATGACTTGTTTCCCTCTTGCTGCCATCAATATTTCCTTTTTATCATTAACTTTTGAAATTTTAATTTTAATATGTCTTGATGTGGGCCTCTTTGGATTCATTTTTTGGAACCCTTTGGGCTTCCTGGACCTGAATGTTTGTTTCCTTCCCCAGATTAGGTAAGTTTTCAGCATTATTTCTTCAAATATACTTTCTGCTTTTTTTCCTGTCTCTTCTTCTTCTGGAATCCCTCTAATGTGAATGTTAGATTACTTGATATTGTCTTAGGGGTCCCTTATATTATTTCAATTAAAAAAAATTTTTTTATCGCCCTGCCGGGGTGTTTCAGTTGGTAGGAGCATCATCCCATACACCAGAAGGTTGTGGATTAGATTCCCAGTAAGGGCACATACCTAGGTTTTGGGTTTAATCACCTGTCTGGGTGTGTACGAGAGGCAACAATCAGTGTTTCTCTTTCACATCGATGTTTCTCTTCCTCCCTCCTTCTTCTTCTCTCTAAAATAAATAAAAACATCCTCTGGTGAGGATTAAATTTTTTTTCTTTAAAAAATAAAAAATTCTTTTTGTTTTGCTTTGTGGATTGGGTAATTTCTACTATTCTGTCATTCACGTTGCTAATGTTTTCTTCTCTATTACTCTGTCGAATACTTTTAAAGTACTTTTTGTTTCTGTAATTCTTTTTTGTTGATTGTTTATTTTCTAACTCTTTGTTGATGTTCTCTCTGAGTTTTTCTGTGCTGCTCTTAAGTTTGTTGAACATCCTTATGACCCTTCCTTTGAATTCTTTATCTGGCCAACTACTTATCTCTGTTTCATTAGAGCATTACTCTAGGGTTTTTTCTTGGTTCTTCAGTTGGAGCATAGTCCTCTGTCCCTCCATGTTGTTTGATTTTTTGTGTTTGCTCCTTTGAGTTAAATGAAATATAGCTCTCTCTCCCAATCTTGAAAAAGTGTCCTTGGGTCAAAGTGTCCTGAGTAGACTATGCTGGCTGGTTTTGGCAGACCAGTTTGAATCAGGGTAGGTGCATGTGGTGCCTGGTATGCTGCCTGACCACAAGGAGCAGGTTGTGGACGGTGCAGCCTGGTGTACATATGTGTGCAGAAGCTCCCTGTTCTGGCTGTCCACAGAATTGGGTAGGGCAGCCTGATTTGTGCCAGGTGTGGTTGCAATGTATGTGCATGGCATGCCCTGCTGCTTTAATGTCTGTTGCCCAAACAGGGTTTGTGTATGACTGCTCTGTGTGTGTGGGCCACTGGACCCTCCTAGGGCAGCCCTGTGTGCAAACACTGCTGTGCCTTGCAAGTTCCAGACTTTCACTGAACGTGGAAGAACTATTTGTACCTGCAGCCCAGTGGGTGTGCACAGCAGCACCCTGATATACCCAGTGGATCATTTTCTGGGTGAAAGGGCCTTGTGCATGCATGTTACAGCTCCTGCCTATTCTTTTTGGAGCTAGCTCCGTGAGGGGTGGCTGGGTATGTGCTACAGTGGCTCTGTAGATTGGCCAGAATATCTGGATAGAGCTCCAGCCCAGTATCCAAGTGCAGGGGAAATGTAAACTATGGCACTCACTGGTTTCTTTAGTTTTGGAGAGTTTCCTCAGCTCCCGGAGTGCTCTTGTGGTTCCCCAGCCTTCTCTATGTGGTGTCTCTCTCTTGTTTGTTGTGTAAAAGCTGTTCACTTGTCTCTCAGGAGAAATTGCTCTAAATATTGGTGCACGTTTAATGTGTTCTTGGGAGGACATGAGCTCAGTGACCACCTATAGTACCATTTTGGACCCACCTTACATCACATTTTCTTTACCAATTCATCTGTCAATGGACACTTAAGAAGTAGGCTCTTGAGCAGCATCCTGCATGGCTCAGGGCACTCACTATACTGTCACTTTCTTCTGTGGGAGAAATCGTGGCTGAGGGCATCTCTCTTAGCACGAAACTGTGCTGCTTTTGGGGAATTGTGACATGGCTAAAAGGAAACTGTTCTTACCTTCTTCAATACATCTGTTTCTGTATTTTTTGTTGTTGTTGTTCCAGTGGGGCACTGTGACCTTTCCTCTGGACCCTTGAACTCTCACAAAGTTATTCTCATCTGTGGGTGGTTGTCACAATCATTGTTTCTGTGGGGAGATGGTGGCCGAAAACTCCTATTCTGCCATCTTGCTTATGTCATTCCACTAAAGAACATAATAAACTGATGAACAAAATCAATTAAAAATGAATTCAGTAAAATAGAAGCATGTAACAGATTGACGAATCTCAGAGGGAAGGTGGGGGTAGGGGGTAGGTAGGGAGAGATTAAGCAAAGAATTTGTATGCATATATTGCATAACCCAAGGACACAGATGATAGTGTGGTGAACGCCTGGGGTGGGGAGTGGGTATGGCGTGGAGGGGGTCAATGGGGGAAAAAGGGACATCTGTAATATTTTCAACAATAAAGATACATTTTAAAAAAGATTAATGCTAATACATTATCTTTTCTTGCTTGTAGTTTATGGGGGAAAAAAGATTCATGGGGGTGGTTTCGGGAGTGATTCAAAGGAATGCATAAAAGTCAAATTAAAGAAGTGGAAATTAGCTTGGCCAGCATGGCTCAGTGGTTGAGCATCAACCTATGATCCAGGAGATTGCAGTTCTGTTCCACATCAGGGCACATACTGGGGGTGCAGGCTGGATCCTCAGCAGGGGGCTTGCAGGAGGTAGCTGATCTATGACTCTTCCTCATTGATGTTCCTATCTCTGTCTCTCCCTTCCTCTCTTCGAAATCAATAAAATATATTTTTTAAAAGTGGTAATTAATTTAGAAGTGGGAAGACAGAGTTAGGTACATGTAAATTCAGATAAAAGATGTTGAAAGCATTCCAGGTTATGGAATCACTGAGAATAAAATAATTTGTAGTTATTCTCAAAGAGCATGAATTACTTATAAATTGTATATATACTCATAGTTGGAACTATAGCTCAACCTTTGAAGGAGCATAAAGATAAAAGAAGCATTGAAGATGTAAAACATTAGATACTGACAAGTGATGTGATATGCAGACTGGGTAGTAGGCAGTATTAATAAAAAATAACTATTATTGAGTCCTGCTCATCAAAGCTATGCATAGAGATTTTGGGGGGATTCTTATCTATTGGCAAAACTTTATCTTGGATGAAGAAAGATTGTAAACAATACTTAGACATTGGAGTGTAAAGCCAGAGTTGGGTGTTAGTAACAAATACTTGAAAACAAGTGCTAGAATGGTTAGGTATAAACAGTATTAGAGAGAGAATAAGGCAGCAGTGGGCACACCATGCAATTGTGAAGTAAAGCGCAGTTGACACCAAAGGGCATTTCAAATTGAGAATTGAGTACCAAGGTTTTGTACATACATAGTGGAAATGTTTGTTTTGGTCGGGGCTCTAAAGATGACATAATTTATGTTTGGAGCATGTACACCTTTGTGGTTGAGAGTATGGCTCTGGATTCAGTTTGTCCAAGTTCCAATCCTTTAGTGGCACTTATCATTGGTGCTACCTTGGGAATATTACCATACTTAGCATGTGATATTTGATTTTCTTCAATGGGGATAAAAATAATATATATTTCACTGGCTTATCTGAGTATTAAATGGAATATTTTATGTAGATCCCTGAAAATACTGCTATTATTAAAAAAGAAGTTACATGGGCTCTTACTCAAAGCAGAAATAATAATATTAAGTTGTAGAACTAGAACGTTATTCCTATGAGAAACTGATGGGCTTTTCTACATGACAGTGAATATTTGCAATCCATACATAGTTTTATTGTCACTCAGCAAAATGCATATGATCAAAATGTTTGGTTAAAGGCTTCGGTAGCCTTAACCAAATGTGATGAGAACAGTAAAGGAAACCAACAAAACATGGATTCATTGGATATGTTTTAGAAATCCAGAGTGCTTAATTTCATTTAAGAAAACCTCCCTAATTTGAAACAATTAGGATGCATGGAAAGATTGTACCTCAATTTGCTTCAGACTAGGAATTTATGAACTACAGACAAATTATTTGCAGGAATTTTCACATTGGAATTGTTCATTGGAACGAATTATAAATATATTCTTATTTTATTTAGCTATAGAGATTATCCAGATTATGTGGGAGCAACGTTTCCTGGAAAGATGTGTGTTACTCATTATTCTACGGGGATTGCTTTGGTATGTACTTATTTTAAAATTATATATTTTAAAATTTCCCAACACTATAGCATTATTTTATACAGTTTACATTTATATTTACATTTAGAAATTGCATTTATTTTCAATTAGTGTTAAAAATGTGAAGTGTAAAAGAAAATTTGATGTGTATAGAAGGAAGAGTATTCTGTAGAACACGTGTCTTGTTGCAGTTATTTGGAAGTTAAAGTTGAATAAAAATATCAAATGCACCTGAATTCTTTAACATATAGAATATTGTGTCACAAAAAATTTTCTGTAAAGAAATTTCTGTAACCCAAATAGAATTTTGTTTGTAGACATAAAGTTGGAGAAATAGTCTCACAGATAAAATAGCTTCAAAATCAAAACAAATGATAAAAAGGATAATAAAAATTTAAAAAAATATCTCAAACAGTATTTAAAGGAAACTTTTATGTGCATTTTAAATCTTTATAGTACTTAAATATTTTATATATATATAAATTATTGGTATAATTTAGATGCATCTTTGAAAGGTGAAGTAGTTAGTTGAGCCACTTATCCTGTTCATTCTTTTAAAATACAAGTTGAAGTAGTGTATATATTTTTAAGTTAAAAAACAATTTTTATTCACGTCCACCTTTTAAAGTAAATATGGAAACATAAAAGGAAATTCATGTAATCTGGCTTCTTTCGGTTCAGGAAGCTATCACTATACATATTTTGCCCATTCTCTCTATTACATATGTATACTTATTATTTTAATATTTATAATAATTCTTAAAATAGATATAATAATTAAAATATAGTAATTATTGAAACATTACATATTATTTGTATACATCCATATTGTTTAATGCATTTTATATATGATAAATTTTAATCTTTATATTTTTATTATTTATATTTCATTATTTAAATAGTACCTATTTACCTTAGACAGTGTCCATTCATTATGCGCTATGAAAAATAAGAGATGTAAAATAGCTGTACACTTCTCATATCCATTGTCTAGGTTTATGAAATTTATAGTTCTGTAGCACTTTTGTACGTTATTATAACAGGTTTATTTAATAAATAAACTAATAAGATTTTACAGTATTTTGAATATATAAATAATATTAACTATTGAATCAAGAAATATATTATTATGCTTATAAAGAGCTTTGACAGAGGGAGATCTTTCAGGCATCAGGGTGTAACAGAGCTGCTTCATTTTTTTCTGTCTTCTATGGACAAAACCAACTGCCACAGAAAATTAAACCTCCTCTTCCTCTTCTTGGAACTGTTAGCTATTTTTCTGGAATAACTCTTGAGTTTTTTTAAATACTGTGTATAAATGCCAATCATTGAGTTATTTTACTAATGAAAATACTTTTGCTTTCCCACCACATTTGATTGATAATTTAGGTAGGTATAAAACCCTAGTTTTCACATCTTTCTATCTTAGCAGTTTGAAGATTGATGTATTGTGTTTCTGTCAAGTCATTTTGAAGTGCAAGGACAGCAGGGTAACTTGAGGGTGTTTGTAGGAGAATTTGAACTGGTTATGGAAGGAGAGAAGTCAGTAAGGAAGTTTGGAGCAGTAAAGATTCAGGAACGAACCATGGTTTGGATGTGTTGGTGGGTACACGATTGTTGGAGTTGAGATGCTAGAGGAGTGATCAGGAATGAAATTATGTGGTCAGGATGTAGTATGCACTTTATAGAGGTGATGCAGCGGTCACAGTTATTGATAAAGATCTGGTGACAGGGCTTAGGGTGTAAACTATTGGAATGAGTGGCTGAGGCTGGGTGTAGGATAGAGTAATTGGAGGAGATGAATTCAAGGAATTATTCTTTCACAAAGCTTTCATGTTATACTTTTACAAAACCTTTACATTTCTTTAACAGCTCTCGTGCTTTTACCACAATTGAGCATTTCTCTAAACAAGAATTGTTTTTATGCTTTAAACATAATATAAATTGTATCACAGTGTGTCAGTCTGCAATTAAAATTTTTGGGTTCCACTTATAATTTTGAGATTTATTCATCTGGCACATGAACTTTTGGTTAATTTTAAAATAACTTTATTTATTTATTTTTTATTTCACCAATAATTTTGGTCCAAGTGGTGTTAGGCCTAATGAACATACAAAGATGAATATGCAGTGTGATTACTTGATTATAAATCATTGAAGCCCAGTAAAGCATGGTACATAGTAATAGCACAATAAATGTTAGTTCTTTTTATCATCATCATTATCATCATCATTCTTGTCATTAGTTAAGGACCCCTAAGCCTAGTAGGGATTTAATGGCATGGATAAATGGCTTCCACATTTTTGTAATAAAAAGAAGAAAGTATACAGATTACTTGTTGGTGCAGATGAAAATATGTAGGAATCCAAGGAAAGGAGAAATAATTTCAGACTGGAGATAAGCATTTAAGATACATAATAATAGGGAAACACAGTACCCTCATCCCCTCAATGTTGTGTAAAACTTTATTTTTTAATAGAAATTTTAGATTCACAGCAAAATTGAGAGGAAAGTACAGAGATTTTTCCATATCCTCCCTCATTATTAACAGTCCATGCCATAGTGGAACATTTGTCATAAATGATGAACACACTGACACAATCACCCAAAGTCCATAGTTTACCTTTGGTCACTCTTGGTGGTGTACATTGTATGAGTTTTGACAAATGGATAGTGACATACATCTATCATTGAAGTATCACAGTAGTTTTACTATAGTCAAAATGCATTGTCTAATTTTTTTGCATTTGTGTGTGATATTTTATTGTATAAATATGCCACACTGTTACCTTTATGCTTTTCGTGAATATTTGGTGGTTTTTATTTTTGCCATTACATATGACATTTAATAAACATCCCTATACATACCTTGTCCAATCTCCATATGGTCTTTTTCTGTGAAAACAGAAACCAAGAACTAGAACCTCAGTTTTTAGATAGGCAATACTCCTGCTCATATAGCAGCCTTCATTTCTTAGCTATTTTTTTAGCTATTTTTTTTCTAAGTTTCATCCAATGTGATATAAGCAGAAATAACATTTGGAACTTCCAGGAAGCTTCTTTAAAGGAATGCTACCCATTCTTCATTGTGGCGTTTTTTGAATGTGCTGTTTAAGATTCCATGTGAACCCGGTCAGCATGGCTCAGCATAGGTTGAGCATCAACAACCTATGATCCAGTAGATGGTGGTTCGATTCCTGGCCTGGGCACATGCCTGGGTTTTGGGTTCGACACCCAGTAGGGGATGTGCAGGAGGGAGCCAATCAATGACTCCCTCATCATTGATGTTTTTATCTCTCTCTTCCTCTCCCTTCGTCTCTCTGAAATCTATAAAGACATATTTAAAAGTAAAAAGCCATGTGAAGGGGGCTGGGGTGAATGGGGTCTTAATATATGTTGACAGGAGAAGATATGACTGGGTAGTGAGCACCCAGAGCAATATACAGATCTTTTAACATAGAAACCCATACGTGAAACTTATATGTTCATATATTAACTATTGTCACCCCAATAAATTTAAAAAATAAAATAAAATAGATATAACCAGTGGAAAAAAAAAAAAGTGAAGACAAGTGCTTTATTTAGGCAAGATGGAATAGGAAGCTAGAAGGAGCCCAGATCCCTGAAAAACAGAAGCTGTTTTTATGTGTGTGAGAAATATCTTTCTATTCTAAGTCATTATTATTTTGAATTTTCTGCCTCATGCAGCTACATCAAATCCTAGCAGTTTAGGAGTATTTATTGTAAACAGAATAGAACTGGATCAGTTTTTTCTATCCAATATGAAAATATATGTGTTTTAATTATTCCAATTTAAATTATGCACATTCTTTTGCTTATTGATATTTTTGGAATTAATGTTATCACCATATTTTCAATTTTTTTCTATTTGTTTCTTTGCCTCCACTGCTTTGCCAACAGTCTAGTATCACTAAGGAAAATTATAAATATACTTCAGGCCCGGCTGGGCGTGGCTTAGTGGTTAAAGCATTGACCTAGGATCCAGGCGATCAGGGTTCGATTCCCGGTCAGGGCACATGCCCAGGTTGCAGGCTGCAGCCGATCAGTGACTCTCTCATCATTGGTGTTTCTTTCTCTCTCTCCCTCTCTGTTCCTCTCTCTGAAATCAATAAAGATATATTTAAAAAATAATAATAATAATATACTTCAGGAAAAAGGAAAGTGATCCCAAATGGGAGATCTGAGAGTCAAAGGGAATGAAGAGTAATAAAAAATAATAATTGTTTGAACATGGCCTGCAAGAATTGATAGTTGTGTCTGATGAGTTTAAAATAGGTACAAGATTAAATTAAAATAAGTGACAATAATGTGTTATAGGTGGCTGTTTGATAACATAGTCTATAGCTGTGGCTGGAAAGCATGTGCCAATTCATGGACCATATTTCTCAGACCTCCTTATATTTAGATGGAGCCATATAACATCAATAGGAGTAATGCTTGTCACTTCTTGGTTGTAGCAGTTAAATCTTGTGTGAGCCTTTCCCCTGGTAAGCTTAATGGAAAAGGCATAAATAAGGACAGGAGCACAAGAAGTAATTATTTCTGCATGAACATATGTAAGGTTACCTGGTTGTGGAACCAGGAACCTCTACACTGGGCTTTATATGAGTATATTAAATCACTAAGATTTTAGAACTTCTTTGTAGCCACATCTAACATTACATTAAATTATATATACATGATAATATATGATTTGGAACAGTGTAAATGGAGTTAAACAAGACGAAATGTATTTCTATGTACTGGCAATGAACAGACATTAAAACTTTAAAAATAGCATAAAAATAAAGAAATTTAAGAATAAAAAGCTATCAAATAATGTATAAGACTATACAGAGAAAATAAAACGTTATTAGAGACGGTGCCTAAGATCTTGGACTGGCAGACAATATTGTAAAGGTAATCCCCAAATTGATCTACAGGGTGAGTGCAGTCCCCAATAAAAATCCTAGCAGGTGTGCGAGTGTGTAAAATTGACAGGCTAAGACTACAGTTTTTAGGGTGATACAGGGTTAACAATAACTAAGATAATCTTGATGAAAATCACAGCGGAAGGCCATACTGTCATTGATAGGAAGACTTATCCTGAAGCTTAGGACAGTAGGCAAGTAAATAGACCAATGGAATAGAATCGAGGGTTTAGAAACAGAAAAATGAGAGGGACGTACTCAGTGTTTTACAAAGATGATTGTGGTGCTCTTGCTGGTGGGTGATCTTTTTAATTGAGCTCATATTGGTATATTACATTATATATATGTTTCAGGTGTACAACATAACTTGACATCAGTATACACTGTGAAGTAAGTGTTCAGCACCAAAAAGTCTGATTATAGTGGATGTCTTTTTCATAAATGTAATTTCACTGCTATTCAAAGATAAAACTTAGGTAGATTGTAGCTCTATATGTAAAATGAAAGAATAAAGCCTTGGAAGTTAAAAAAGAAACATAACTTCATGACTATGAGCATAGGGAAAGGTTTATTCAAGTGGACACACAAAATTCTACACATAAAGGAAACATTGGATGAAGTGGACCACATCAACTTAAGGAAATTTTGTTCATGAAAAGACATTAAGAGAGTGAAAAGACAAGCCACAGAGTAGGGAAACTAATTGCAATGCATGACTAATAGTGACTCATATACAGAATATATAAAGTGCTTCCACAAGTCAATAAAAATGCTAATGCATTAGAAAATGGACAAGATACTTGAATAAACACTTCACAAAAAAGAATAGCTCAGTTGTAAAAAATATATGAAATACAAGTTAAACCATGAAATACTTACCTTATACCCAGCGGAATTGATAACAAAAAGATGGACACAAGGAAGTTATCTGTGCACCCGTTAAATATGCAAAACCTAATCTAAGAATGTGGTTTCCCTTGATACAAATTACTGTGTCATTGAGAATACTATCAGGAGGCAGAAAGCACACTTAAACTCAGGATTTTGTTATATGGGTACATGTGAAATGGGAGGTGGAATGTGTGGACTATTCTAAGTGTGTAGGAGAGCTGTTGTAAGAATTTTGGTAACTTGAAGATCTTGGTTCATATAGCCAAAATACTAATATAAAATCTAATGTAAAAACAGCCCGTTTATTTATTTATGGTAGCTATTTATGTTATTCAAATGTTAAATTATGGTAAAGCTTGATAAAGACTCAGTATGCTTTTATCTCAATGAGATTTCATAAGAAGAGCTTCAGCTTCTCACTTGTCCAAGGAGCTGTATTTGCCTATTCTTAAGTATTTGATAGAACAAAAAAGATGTTCAGAATTAGAAGAATATTACTTTTACCACCCTTCAATGAATTGTCCTTCTTTTGAATTTTCTTTGTTGTTAACAGTATTTCAAGGAGATAACTTTGGAGGCATTTTCAGTAATTGTCACCCAGATGCTGGGGCTTAGTCTGGGAATATCATATGATGACCCAAAGAAATGTCAGTGTTCAGGAGCCATTTGTATGATGAATCCAGAAGCTATGTAAGTTTTTAAATAATAAGATTTATTTGTTATGTTTATTTTGTTTTAAATATTTGAAGTGCAGACATAGTGTTTACTTATAGCACAATTTAGCTGTAAATGGACCAAGTACTATGAAATAAACAGGAAATATTCAGTGTAAGAGGAGTATGAGGGAGATGTACCATTAAGAGCAGTCAAGGATAACAAATCCAACCTGCAAGTTACATTATCAAGGGGATTCTCCTTAGGCTGCTGTGTGTTTTCTGAAAGCACTTAATAAAGATATTTAAAAATATGTCAGCAGGCTAAACAAGTGGCCTTTATTAGACAGAATTTTTAGTTTTGCTTTTAGAATAGTTTAATGTTGTGGAAAAACTTAGAATAAGTCCTAGTTGGAGGATCATATGAAATATATGATATTTGTGTGACTTTGGACAAATTACTTCACCTTTCTTTTTAAATAGATTTAATCTTTATTGTTGAAAGTATTACAGATGTCCACCAACCCCACTCTCTCCCTTTCCCCAAGCCTTCCCCGCACTATCATTTGTCCAGGGGCTATGCATATATGCATCTAAGTTCTTTGATTAATCTCTTCCCGTCCTCCCCCACTTTCCTCTGAAATATGTCAGTCTTGCATGTTTTACTGTCTCTGGATCTGTTCACTTTGTTTAGAGTTATCTTGCTTATGTTTATAATGGAAATGATTATGCCTATTTTATTTCACACCATGAGGCAAGAATAAAACAATAAAATGTGAAGGTGTTTTCTAAACTCTTAATTGCTATCAGTATGAATGGATTAGTTACAGTGATTTCTAAATTTGCCATTGTTCCCAGATAGTTTACCAGACAAGGACTAGAGTGGTGTCATTAGTATTCTACAGGTTTTATTTTTTTAATTTGTGAAGGGCCTATGCTAATTAAGACCTACTTATAACTGAAGAACAATCCAAAGTCAAATGCAGAAATAAGACATTAATTTTTGAAAACATGCTCTTTTAATAGTTTCTTCTATACACCACCTAAATAAAGGTTAACTCTCGAATTCTAAAAATAGCTCAAACTCAAACATACATATTTATATATACACACATTTTATATTACAAATTCTAAATGGATTACACATATAAAAACATTTATACACATATAAAATGTACTTTATTAAATATAGTTAATTAAATTTATGATAATATGCTTATTAAATTAGATATGTAACTTATATAGATACATAAACAATGTGAGAATTACTATTCTGGCCTATTTTTCATTTGGAAACTATTCTCAATATGCTATGACAGGATGTTTTGCATAGGTCACTCAGAGTGTAGTATTAATGATAATAAGAATAACAGTATTTTACATTGTACTTACTATGTATTGGAAACTCTCTCAAACACTACATATGTTTACTCATTTGATTCTCACAACATCCCTTTAGGGCAGGTTTTATTATTCCCATTTTTATAGATGAAAACTGAGTTAAATAAAGAGGATAATTATCCATGGTGAGATAACTAGTTTGTGGCAGACCCGAGATTTTAATTCAGACATTCTGGCTTTAGAATCTATGTTAATAAACCTTTAGACTTGTACTATGTATAATATTTGTAATTAGCTTTATAATATTTAAAGTGCTTTCAAACATATTCTCTTATTTCGTACAAAACTCTTGTAATATGTGTAGGGCAAATGTTATCTTAACTTTTACAAAATCTAACAAATATGTATATATATCTTCTGCATTTTCACAGTACATCCCAAATTATTTTACGTAATTTTCAAAGAAGGCATGTGAATAAGGCAAATGTTATTTCCATTTTATGTGTTTGTTTTTTTGTGTTTTTTTTTTTAAATCACCTGGAGTACAGAGAGACTAAATGACTCTACATTGGGTATAAAATTAATTAGTGGCCAAAATTCAGGTGATAAAGTAATATCATTAGTGATTTGTTAGGCACTTACTATAAGCCTGGGAGTTGAGTTAGGCACTTTGCTGATTTAATATTACTTAATTCTCACAACAGCTTTCTGAGGAGGACAGATATTATTCCTATGTTGTAGATGAGAAAACTGAGACTTAGAGAGTTTGATCACTTTGCCTAGAAGCCTCATAAGTCACCGGGTGGGTACCAGTCAACAAGTAAATCAACTCAAAGTTTTGTTAGTTACTCCATACTGACTTCAGGTAGAAAACAGTTAATATATTGGAATTAATTTAAACCAAGTAGCACGAGAACATTAATATGTATTTGTATAAACTTCAGTTTTTAAAAAAAATTTATCTTTCTTGTTTAAAGTATTACAAATGTCCTCCTTTTCCCCCCATTTATCGCCTCCTCACTGTACCCTCCCCCCAGGCCTTTACCCCACTGTTGTCTGTGTCCCTGGGTTATGTGTATATGCATATAAGTTCTTAGGTTAGTCCCTCTCCACCCACCCATCCACCCATCCCTGCCTTCCTTTTGAGATTCATCAGTCTATTCCATGCTTCTGTGTCTCTGGATTTATTTTGTTCACTGGTTTATGCTGTTCATTAGATTGCACATATGAGTAGATCATGTGATAATTGTCTTTCTCTGACTGGCTTATTTCACTTTGCATAATTCTCTCCAAGTTCCACCATGCTGTCTCATAGTGTAAGAGATCGTTCTTTTTTAAAGCTGCATAGTATTCCATGGTGTAAATGTCCTAGAAGGTGCTTGATGTGATTTCAGTCTTCTTGAACTTGTAGAGCCTTTTTTTGTGTCCTAACAAGTGGTCTGTCTTTGAGAATGTCCCATGTGCACTTGAGGAGGATGCATATTCTGCAGCTTTGGGATGAAATGTTCTGTAAATGTCAAATAAATCATCTGACTAGTGTATCATTTAGAATCACTGTTTCCTTGGTGATTTTTTTGATCTGGAAGATATATCCAGTAAAGTCCGTGGGGTGTTAAAGTCCCCTACTATGACTGTATTGTTGTCAATTTCTCCTTTAAAGTCCTCCAGAAGTTTTTTTTCTTTCTTTTTTCTCAGCCTGTGTGAGTCTTTTGTTCTGAGATGGGTGTCTTGTAGAAAGCATATATTTGGATTATGTCTTCTTATCCATTCAGCTACTGTGTCTCTTTGATTGGAATATTTAATCCATTTATATTTAAGGTTATTATTGATAGATACTTATCTATTGCCATTTTATTTTTTTACCCCTGTTTCTCATTCTCTCTATTTCAACTTATTACAGCAGTCCCTTTAACATTTCCTGCAATGCTGGTTTGGTGGTAATAAACTCCTTTAGCCTTTTTTTCTCTGGGAAACTCTTTATTTCACCATCTGTTTTGAATGATAGCCTTGCTGGATAGAGTATTCTTAGTTTCACATCCTTGTTTTGCATTACCTTGAATACTTCATGCTATTCCATTTTGGCCTGTAGAGTTTCTGATGAAAAGTCATCTGACAACCTTATGGGAGCTTCTTTGTAGGTAACATATTGCTTTTCTCTTGCCGTCTTTAAGATTCTCTCTCTGTCTTGAATTTTTGGCATTTTAATTATGATGTATCTGGGTGTGGGCCTCTTTGGGTTTTTCTTGCTTGGGACTCTGTGTACCTCCTGAACTTGTGTGACTTTTTCCTTTACTAGGTTAGGGAAGTTTCCTGCCATTATTTCCTCAAACAGGTTCTCTAACCCTTGCTTACTTTCAACCTCTTCTGGCATTCCTGTGATGTGAATATTGTCACATTTCATGTTGTTCCACAGCTCCCTTAAACTGTCCTCCTGTTTTTTTAATTGTTTTTTCTTTATGGTTCTCTGATTGATTGATTTTTTCCTACCCTGTCTCCTAATTTGCTGATCTGATCCTCAGCTTCCCCTAATCTGCTGTTTATTCCTTCCAGTGTTTTTTAAATTTCTACTATGTCATTCTTAATTTCCTTCATAGTTTCTAGTTATTTTCTCATGCTGTTGCACATCCTTATGATGAGCATTCTGAGCTCTGTATCTGATAGACTGCATATCTCCATTTCATTTAGCTCTTCTTCTGGAGAATTCTTTTGTTTTTTCACTTGGGGCTTGTTTTTTTGTCTCCCCACTTTGGCTGCCTATTTGAATTTGTTTCTGTTTATTAGGTACATCTGCTAGGACTCCCAATATTTTGGATGGTCTCTGGTTCAGGCCAATGTCAGATGTTGTTTGTGACTGGCCTTGAATACCGTGTTTGAAGTTTTCTACACAGCTCATGGCTTTCTCTCCTGGGGCTGGGGCTGGGGCTGGGGGCTGGGTGTGTTTGGACAGGACCAAGATGCGCACCAAAGTCTGCTTTTCAAAGCCCTGGGTCCAGAAACAAATCAGGCAAAGATTCAAAGCACCCAGATTCTGATTATAATTCCGTCTTGTTATAAGCCGCAGGCTGTAGAAACTCCACAGGGTGGGACGAGAGGTTTTCCAAACATGGTGGGGCAGTTGCTTCCCCTCCAGGCAAAACCTGCTTGGATGGCAAATATCTGCCTAAGAAAGATGTCCTCTGCCTTATGGGGGAAAGACTTAGCACAGGAATCCTGATGGCTGCCCTCTGAGCTGTATCCCCCAAGCCAGCATCCCTGTAGTCTCTTCACACAGCTCTAATCCACTCTGCCCTTCCTCCACCAGAGCCCAAGATGAGTGGCTCCACACAAACTTTGTGTGTTGGCTTTTTAAGAGGGTGCCTGCATTTCCAGCCCTCTCTCCCTGGCAGACGGAAACCCTTATGCTTTTCATAGCCAGATGTTATTTGGGCATCATTCTCAGTTCTGGTGCTCTGAGCTGGAAGCCCATCTTGGGGTTTAGATTCTAGAATTCTCAGTGGGAACCCCCTACAGCTGAGATATCCCTCTGGGACTTCAGCTGCTGCCTGTGGGAGTTCAGCCAGCCCTCTTGTGCCTCTGCACTTCCTACCAGTCTTTCTGTGGTCTCCACTCTCAGTCCTTGGTTATGAGTGTGCTCTCCAGCTCATCTTCAGTTGTAGTTGATTATTCAGGATGGTTTTTCTATATTTTACTTGTACT